TTTGCATCTGCTTTTGAGGATTACTCTGTAACATCGGACTTGTCAGCAACCGAAGGAGCTCACTGTTCTAATAATCTGCGTAGGTCTGCTCTGCAGCAGAGCTGTCTTGGCCTGTGACTTTTTCCACATCTCATAAGCTGAGCAAGGTTGGCATGTCTATATCTAGGCAGGAGATCTCCAAGGCAAACCTGTAGTTATTTGGGGTACGTCTGTGCTGCAGTGACTGCAGTATGACTTGGACAAACCCAAGCCAGAATAAATCAATTTTTCAGTTACCAAGAGCAAGGGAGAACAAAAAAGAAAAAGGAACACACATTGGATAAAAGGATGATCATAAATGTATGCTAGTGACAAAAAAAATACCTTAATTGTGATACTTAGGCTTTCTTTTAGTGCTTCCTTTTAGGTTTGTAGATCCTGTCAGAAGTCCCTTTCCCCACTGAAAAACCTTAATACAGCTTTAGTAAGATGTCTGTAGTATTTCTTGTGTTGGTATTAAGTGCTTGTAGTTTTCTAGAAATGTTGCAACTAATTAGAGCTGGTTAAAGATATAAAATTAAATGTATATAGCCCGTTAAAATTGCAAGAATGTATTTTGCAGGGCTGAGTTGAATGACAGGGTGCACATGGCAAATTTTGTTGCAGCTTGAATCAGAGTACGAAATGACAAATCTAGCTAAAAAAGTTACATTACTCAAACATAGGCTGTATTAAAGTAGGTGATGCATCATCCTCTAGTTAAACAGAGTGTTCCTCAAACCAGGAAAACTATCATCTTAGCCTTCCCTTCAATAAAACAAATGATAGGTGTCTTTTATGCATTGCAGTAAGTACTTTCAATGAGGGAAGGAGGTCTCAAAGTTGGATAGAAGCTTTCCTTCTCAGGATTGCTTGGAGCGAGGTGAGGAAGCCTGAAGTGGAGCGGGATGGTTGTGTGGTTTGGTGGGAGTGTGAGATCTAACCATTGTGCCAGGTGAGCAAGCTGTGCAGCAAAACCATGTGGTCTGACAGCTCTTAGGGGATGGAAATGCTTGTTGTAAGTGGTCTACCTGGCTAAGGATGGATCAGACTGTAATCCCCGAACTTCCATAATATGCATATGGTGCCTCTACATGGCAGCCCCAACAAAAAGTGGGAGGAGAAGACCTTGAGATTATGATCCTAAGTTCAGTGCAGAGGTATACCGCATCGAAGGGTTTTAGCTGCTTTTTGTCCTATTGTAATAGGTGGGAGTTGGTCATTAAGTACATTATCTGGGCCTGGGGATTTAAGATTTTTATGCCCTGGTTATCACGTTTTGTTCTTTAGTAACCCCAGAGCCCTCATACCTGTTCTTTTGTTCCCTTGTCCATCTTTAGTTTCTATACCTGGATACGATTTCCCCCTCCTCCCCATTTGGTACTTGTTGGAGCTCTCTACCATTCTTTCTCTTTTCTAAGCCATGCAACTGTGAAAGGATCTTCTTGCCACTTTAGCAAGGGAGAAGACTTCTTTCTCCAGCTTTTAACTACTTTTCTCAGTAACATATTGCAGCCCTTCACCTGCCGCTACCTTGCTATGCTTTTAAAAGTGCTTCCCAGTGTTTACTGAAATTTCAGCCTGTTGGTAGGAAGTTAACATTATAAACGAACTATTCTGCTGTTAGCAGTGCTTGTCAAAAGTAAGGAATGTTTACTTGGTATGAACTGTCCCTCCACTCCTCTCAGTGGGGTTGCTTATCTGTTTGCCCAATTATAGCCTTTATCTGCTTTAGCATAAGATATATTTGCTAGAAATAAGCTCTTCTGCAAAAGAGGTCTTGCACTTTGTTGGAGGCTGTTTGCCTTTCAGCTCTTCCATTAGCTCCAAAGGGGGTGCTAGGACTATTGCTGGGGCTGCTCCTTTGCCTGATAATGAGCGTCAGGCTCTTCACTGGCATGCAGAACTAACATTTTGTGTGTATCATAGGTACAGTAGGCCAGCAGAAAACAAAAAGCAACTTAAATTACCATTTAAATGAAATGCTAGAATATCTTCCTTTGTATCTAAGCAACTTCTGAAAAATTACGTCTCTGTACCATAACTTGTCCAATTTTTGAACATTTTTGTGCTAGTCATTATTAGACTTCTTGCTGTTTGTCAGTCATTTTTCTTCATCTTCAAGCCAAGTATATTTTAGAAAACAATAATTGTAAATCAAACTAGGATTATTCTGGGCAGTATAATGTAGCCTGGTAATTTGATAGCTATCTCAGTGCGCAGTAAAATTGACAAAAATTGCACTTTTGGCAAGGAAAGTAATTTTTAAGAAAACATTTAACGTTTTAATCAGAATGGAAGTGAATGAGGGAATTCATTCACTAGCAACCCAAGCACAGAAATGTGCACAAGTCCATGAATGCAGGTTGGGAATAACTGATCAGAATGCTCCAGAGTCTGATATACGCTGACACTACAACAGATTCAATTTGGACCAAGTAATCAATCAATTTAGAGCTGGAATTTTAAACATCAGAGTCTACAAGATATACAGAGTAATATACTTGATTTTTAACATAAAGGAGTTTATACATTTTTCAAAGACTTGCAAAAAACTTCATCCATATATATATGATTTAGTGTAAATCCTGCCAGCTTGCCACATGTTTATAGAGTTAAAAAGTGATTACAGAGATCTGTATTCCTGGAGACTAATAGACTATGGAGTCTTTCACTTCTGTGAAGGCATCTTGGCATATGAATGAAGGTTATCATCTGGTGACTCCTCATTGGCCCGTGAGAACTGATGTATTGTTCTTAAACTGGATCCTAATGAACAAAAGCTACCATCACCGCTGCAGCAACTAGACTTGCAGAGTTTTTGAATAATTGAATGGCAGTGTCATAACTTGGAAATAACCTACACATTGGTTAGACCCCCCCCACTTGAAACAGTGAAAGAGAACAGTAAACACAACTAAGTTCCCAATATAATTCTTTTATTATTTACGGGGAAAGAGTCCTGGAGAAAGCCCATGTCCTCTGGGGCTCGCCTGGGGCATTGCAGTCCTGCTACCCCCAAGCATTCAGAAAAGATGAGTGAGGCTCCAAAATATCAGCCTTTGTGGGCCTGTTTCCAAGTCTTTTAAGCTGCTGATGTGTCAAAGTTTTCTTCCTCCAGCCCTGGGGTGAGGACCAGCCAGCGTGTTGACCCGGGAGCTGTGCAGAGTCAGCAAGCTTGCTGTGCAGACTCCTTGAGTTAATCATCTGGGAAATGCTGAGGACAGGGATGTGAGTTATGAATCTGCCACATCTGCACTTCTCCCTCAGGGATGCAGGGAGGCAGTGCTAAAGGTGCCTACCTGTGCTTTCTCTTGCAGAGGACTGAGCAGTGTTCACTCCTTTCGTTTAAAACAGGAGTGGAGGAGTGGGTGCTGGTGCCCTAGTCTCATGGTTAGAGTGCTTGCTCAGGATAAGGGAGACCCAGACTTAATTCTTTCCTTGATTTGAGGGGTTTCAAACCCACAGCTCCCACCTCCCAGGGGAGTACAGTCACCACCAGGTCATGCTGGATTGGGAGCAGTTTTGACCACTCCTTTTCAAGTCAAAGCGGGACCGCTGCAGAAAAGATGCAAGACTCATTGGCCAGAGACTGCAAGAGTTGGCATGACTCCAGCCAGGTGGTTAGTAGACTTACCTGGTAGGAGGATACTGGGCTCCTTCCAGGCTGTGCTGCCAGAATCATCTGTGTTTGTTAATGTAACGCACAGGAAGTGCTTTCAGAGCTAGAATCTGAGTTTACCCCTGTCCCAGGTGGGTGCCGTAACTACTAGGCTGCCATCATACTCACTCGCTTATTGGGACAGTTTGAGAGGCCACAGGTGTTGCTTGGAGAGGTAGATGCAAAGAGATGAAGAGCCCTTCCCTGAATAAGCCAAGTCCAAAAACAGCTCCTTGTTTCTATCGTGGACAAACAGCCATTTTCAGAGCTGACAGTAGGCATTGGGAAGTGGAAGTAGGGAAGATGAAACTAAGCGACCTATTGAAAGTGAAACTGCAGTGTGATGCTTCGCGTTAAAACATCACCTTTGGTTGATGGCTTTTATGAAAGGAAACTACACGGTAATGAATGGCTGCAATCATATGCATAATTACTTTTCCAAATTGCCACATGTTCTTTATTAGAAAGTTTTAAAATGAACTGATCCTGAATACATTGCTTATGGTGCATAATTAATATTTTATAAAGAATATATCTAAGCAGTTAAAAATAGATTGCATCAAATGTGCAGTATTGTAGACCTCACCAGCATCTCCTTTTACTGTAGGCACTTTATATTGAGGAGGAGATTTTGCATTGTTAGACATGTCTGTGCTTCAGAACAAGGTGTGACCTGTCTGATCACCAAGTTCTTAACTACAATATTTAATCTATTCCTGGTTAAACAGTTATTATCATGCATACGTGAATACATCTTAAAGAACAGTGGATAATAATTGTTGAGTGGGCGTGGGTACTGGTTTTGAAAGGAAGGTTAGGAATAGAGAATTCACCAAGTGCAAGGGTTTTTATAGCCAAGGAAATTAATGAGTAAGTTATAACGTAGCAGTCTGGGCACTGGATCGTGTTGAGTTCCTGAGGCCAATTCACATGATGATTCACTCAGTTTTTGAATTAGTCACTTTTCCTTTTACCGCATTTTCCAATTCTGAACTACAAAAGTGTTAACAGAACACTTTGCTATTCTAGAGCATTTTACCTACAGTGTATCATCATTTTGTAGCACATCTGACATATTTAATACATGCATTTGCTACTTGTCTCGTTCCTTCCTTCCTTCCAAACCGGAGATAAGTTACTGTGTCTCTTCCTACAGTCATGTATACATTGGTCTGAATATTTTTTTGCGTGTGAATCACTTTGAGTATTGCAAGATGGTGCGACTATTGTTTCTCTATAGCATTCATTAAATTGTGTATTACCATGCAGATGTCAAATTAGGAGAAAGTGGTTTTGATTCATCTTTCTGTTCACTTATTAGGTTTCTTTAGAAAATTGTGTTGAGGTTGGGAGGATCGCCAACACATACAATCTCACAGAAGTGGATAAGTACGTTAACAACTTCATCCTGAAGAATTTCCCTGCATTATTAAGTACAGGTGAATTTGTGAAACTCCCCTTTGAGCGTCTTGCCTTTGTGCTTTCAAGTAATAGCCTTAAGCACTGCACTGAACTCGAACTCTTCAAGGCTGCGTGTCGCTGGCTACGGTATGAGGAGCCTCGAATGGAATATGCTGCAAAGCTAATGAAGAACATCAGATTTCCACTGATGACCCCACAGGACCTTATTAACTATGTCCAAACAGTGGATTTCATGAGAACTGACAATACCTGTGTGAATTTGCTTTTGGAAGCCAGCAATTACCAAATGATGCCATACATGCAACCGGTTATGCAGTCAGAGAGAACTGCCATTCGATCAGATAGTACTCACTTAGTAACTTTGGGGGGAGTGTTAAGGCAGCAGCTGGTTGTCAGCAAAGAATTACGGATGTACGACGAAAAGGCACACGAGTGGAAATCGTTAGCTCCCATGGATGCACCAAGATACCAGCATGGCATCGCTGTGATTGGAAACTTTCTTTATGTAGTTGGTGGTCAGAGCAATTATGACACAAAAGGAAAAACAGCAGTTGACACGGTCTTCAGATTTGATCCTCGTTATAATAAGTGGATGCAAGTTGCATCTTTAAATGAAAAGCGCACCTTCTTCCACCTAAGTGCCCTAAAAGGACATTTATATGCAGTTGGTGGTCGAAATGCAGCTGGTGAACTAGGTAAGTGTGTGTTACCTGGAATGTATGAGTGGTGGTCTGTTTGGCTCCCTTCCTCCCCTGCACCTTTTTTTTGTCAGCAAAAAATCTCATTTCCAAGCTATTTCTTTCCAATGTAAGCTATAGAAATTCAGTAATTGTAGGTATGCTTTTATGAAGTAAGTTCAGAATACAACTTACAGGAAAAAGTGACATTAATTTAGTTGTGTAGTATCCAGTATCCTCATCTTTTAATAAGATCTAAAACAACTTATCATTAAATGCTTGTGGAATCTTAGACTGAGTTTGTAAAACTTTTTTTTAAGAAGGGGTTTTGCATTTGATTGAAGACATGTTAGCATGCCAATATACATAAACTTTTTAACAGCTGTTTCCGCATATAGCAGTTGCTTTATGAACACATGATTTAGTAACCTTTACAGTGTAAAATACAAATAATTCAACACACTTTTTATTTAGATCAGGATGTTCCTTGAAATACTTTTATTTAAAGGAAAGCTGTGAAGTTACATCTTAAAAAATGTGAATTTCATACTGAAATTGCAATGGCCACTTTGGAATTTCAGTATTTTGAAAGGTGTCTGTGGTTTAAAGGCAGGCTAATAAATAATCAGTGAGATGGAGATTGTCAGAACATATTTAAACCGTTGTGTATTTACAGGCTTATGGTTAAGCATCTTACTTTTCATGATGATCAGTGATTTTGCATCACTTCCTTCTCCACCCCCATCTTTGTTCTCCATGCCAAAAATCATAATTTAATTATTTAACCCAAAAACTAAAAACTAAATAGGTCCTCCAGCTTCCCACAGTGATCTACTCTTCCCTTCCCTAAAATGGATGGGAAGACACTCTGCAGGCTGAATAACCTCTGAATTGTAATCCTTGATCCTGCCTACTCCAGCCCTCTGGGGTGGCAAGGGCCGTACCTGTCTCCTCCAGAGAGAGGTAGGAGAGTTTGGGGCTGAAGCATCCGAATCGCATCAGACTCCTGCTGCTGGCTGTCCCCCGCACCTGCTCCGGAGACATCCTCTGCTCCCTGCAGCACCCTCTGGCTGGAAAACCGTGGCTGCATGCAGCGGCAGCAGTTCGGACATGTTCTAGCCACAGCCTTAGTCCATCAAAGGTGTGAGACCTCTGTTAATTAGCTTTTCCTCCAAAAATGGGTGGTGGTCATAGTTTATGAAGAGCTCTGAGTGTGTTTACTGAATGGGTAACAGAAGAGCAGTGTAGCTGTGGTGATCCAGAGATTATGAGGCAAGGATTTTTTAGGAACTTTGAAGAAGGTCTTGTATTTGAAAGCTTGTTTAAGTCTTATCCCAGCTACACAATTGGTCCAATAAAACATACCACCCAAAGAAATCCCTGCCATCACTGAATTGTAACTTCTATCTGTGCATTACCAATACAGTAAGATACAGGATTGAGCTCCACACTTCTGAGTTGCATAATAATATCTCTGTTTCCTACATCCCCATCCTCAACAGTCTGGACAGCAAGATGCATCTTTGTAGTGAGATCTTAAAAATATTTCATTATTTTTACTCAGTAGACTGCAGTAGGTTTACCCAGTGTCCTGAAGTATCGTCTTTGTTACTAAACTGAATAAATTAACTGATTGTTTTGTCATCCAAGATCTATATATCTTTATTTTGTTCACTATCTGAATGTTGCAGATCTGTATATATGCAGCACGCTTCCCACTCATACAACAGAATTCTGTTTTGGGAGGTATCTAGTAGGGCTGTGCAGAGCTTTGGTTCCTGATTCGATTTGGTGGAGATTCAGCTTGACTCGGTGGCTGAATCTCCAAATCTGAATCAAATCGGAGGACCCCTTAATCTCTCCGAATCTAATTGGAACCTTCTGAATCGATTCAGAGAGATTCAGAAAGATTCTGCGATTCAGATATAGAGACAGCTTTAAATGTTTTTTGAACCCCGCGGAAGTACTTCTGGTTCACTTCTGGGATCGCTGCTGAGCACGTGGAGGGCCCCCTGTGCCCCTGTGGGATGCTCCATCCACCCCAGCATCGCAGTGTTCACGAGCTGCACCTTGTACTTTGAGATATATAGAAAAATCTTTTAAAGCTGTGTCTATGTCCGAATAGCTGATTCTCTGAATCAGCATCAAATCTTCAGATTCAAATTCAGCCGAATTGAATTGGGGACAGTGATCCAAATCAATGGATCCAATCGCTGTCCCCGATTTGGGCCAAATCCGAATCGAATAGGGCCTGTTTTGCACACCTCTAATATATAGAACTAGAGTTCTAGACTTTCAGTTATTTTAATGAAGCTAACTCAGTTTTGAATAGTAGAATTGATATGTCCAATGAGGCATAAAATGTGACATTTAGAATGCTTCTTTGGCTTTTAAAATATATTAGAAAATGAACTTTAAAATAATTTGACTTTCTTATACAACAGTTCCATGATTTATGGCTAAATTGATCGTGCTCAGCAACTTGTTGCTTTGTCTACCTTCATACAAACTATGGTAAGAGCTTAAGGCTCTATAAGTGCACATACTGTGCAAAAATAATGTAGTCCTTTTTCTTTTTTTATTTGTTATCTTGTGTAAATAGTGTCAGAACAGCTTATCTTCACTAGAAGCTCCTTGCTGGTGGCTCATTCCAAGAGGACAGTCCATGTGACGTGTCACGTTGTTGTCCCAGCAGCCACATGAGGCAGTTTTTAATTTCCCTCCTGCGTTAAAAACACATCTGTATTGTGATGGAGTTGTGGAATATATATATTTTTCTTTTCCACAATGAGTGAACTTGCAAAAAGGTGTCTGTCCTCTTTCTTTGTGTCCCCCCCATAGCACGTGCTTATCATGGGCTATGGGAATTGATGCTAGTCGACTGTGTCCTGATGGTGGAGAGGCTGGATGTGAAGGTGGTGAAACAGTTTATGTTGACCAGTAAAATGTTCTTAAAAAAAGTAGACTTTTATACAAACTGTTGTGTCATGATCTTCCATGGACAGGAAATATCTCCTGTTGGTCTGCTATGCAAACAGCAGTCATAACATCAATCTCTGCCTGTGAGTCAGCTAAAGCATCAGTCTTAGTGGTGCATCTGATATACTAATTAGATTTTATACATGAGATTACTGTTATTAAACTAAAACCTGTTTAATTTATTCTGTGAATAACCCAAAGCATACTTCTAGGTACTTGAAGGTCAGTTAATTTAAAATAATTCCCTGTAATTTTAAAGGGGAATACCAAAAGCTCTAAGAGCAATTTGTTCACCAGTTTGAAAATAGACTATGTTGGAAAGACCATAGGATGCTTACACTCCTTACTGAAGAGTTCTGTATAGACTGTTTTTTTGGGCAAAGTTTAAAATACAAAATGATCTTTTGATTGATCTCTATCTGCTGGTTTGTTTCACCGGAAAAGCTAAGCTCTTTTGTCATCTGCTTTTTGCTCATTTTAGGTTTTTCATTTGTGGGGGGAGGATTTCTACTGCTAGTTGTAAAATGGGTCAGTTGGATACTGGGATAGTTAAATAATCCTTAATGGTAGTGGGGCCCACTGTCTCATTGTATTTTCAGGCAAAGCACTCGGACATGTCCGTGGGAGCTGCTCCAAAGAACATGTAGCTTCCTCCTGAGTTGGTTTGAATTCAGTGCATGACCCTCGGGAGTAACTCAGACCTTGTACCAGAGGTTTGAAGGAGCCAGATATTATTGGATTGGCAGCTTACTTTGGAGGGTGCTTAATGCCAACATCTTGGTCATTCATCGTGCAAGGTTGCTTGGCATTTAACTGCAAGACTAGGCTTGTTCGCACACTACTACCAGCCTGACTTGCATCAGTTTAAATAAATCACTTCAGGTTGTGCTTGGGATCTCTTTCTTTAAAAATCAGCGATCAGTTTAGTTTGTGCTAATATATTTTTAATGCCAGATGAACCTGTAAAAGCCGGGGTTAAACAAGATTGCTACCGCACAAAGCAGTGATGCTTAGCTGGTGTACAATAACACCATTACACAAAGCTGGTGCAGTTTTTTTGTGTGTAGGGCAGGCCTTAGGTGTGATGTTCTCCTGAAAGTTTACTTGAGGCTCTCCTGCCCTAAATTTTCCCTGCAGTTCAGTTGCATGCAGTGTGCTTTACCTGCTCTCACACATTTTTTAAAGATACTACAGATTGTTAAACTGGTGATGAGACTTCCACGCAGCTGGTAGAATGCTTTGGCTCTTTCTGCATGGAAAGCGCTGTGTAAATGTTCACTCTTCTGGCTCTCTAGGATTTTGATTTGGGAGCGATTTGTTTTCTCCTCCCATGAATTGCCCAAACAACATGCTTTTTTCACTTTCATTATTCCTTTCATGAAAGCTGACCGCTTAAAGGCATGAAATCTAGCTAAATTCCCCAAGCCTGTGAAATATGAAAAACTTAGCTTTTCAAATAAGAGGTTGAATGTGCATTGGGCCAGCATTATGGAATTTGCCCTTAGGTTCAAACTCATCTCAGCCTTTTAGTTGTTGTATGTGATATGAATGTAAAAGCTTAACATCAAGTTTCCAAAAAATAAAAAAATAAAAATCAACTTTCACTGCCAGTTGTAGAGATACTGAATTCTTTCAGCTTACTCTTGTTAGGCTGCATAACTTACCAAATACTTCAGGTCCAGGGCCTGTGGGTCAGAGTTATTAAAATAAATGTCCTTTTTTAATCAGCAAGCCTTCCGTACCAGTTTAACAAAAAACACCACTGCTTTGGGGTCCTTTAGCCAACACGTTCAAAACACTTCTGAGAAGCTTTAATGTTTGAGAGCTGCGTAGGTGTTGCTTTCCAAGCTAGACCTGCCTGTTTCAGCAGTGGTAAAGTAGCAGCTATTTAACATGCATACCACTGGAAGAAGAGTATAGCACATCCACGTGGAGTGGGGAAAAAACCCATTTGAAACCCACAGGGAAAGTTCCTTGAACTGGAATTTGGTCAAGGCATTAACACCTCACTTACTCTAAAATTACAAAGGGATTCTGTA